GCTTGATAAGAAATAGGATAGTCTTTGAGCGTTTCAAAAAACTTTTGAACAGAAGGGAGACTTGGGTTTTTATTGAAAGAATCTGTCGCCTCTTGAATCCAAGGTTTTTCTTTTTCTTCAACATCAATTGTCATCGTTAACCACGGTAAAACCAGGTTGAACTCTTTTCCGTCTTTTTGCCAGTTCACTTTTAAGGATTCATAGGGTAAATGCATTTTTCAATCTCCCGGAACATCAAGGTTTTTTCATAAACGAGCTCTTCCTCCTAATTGGGCAATTTTGGAGACTTTTTGCAAGGAAAGATTTGCTCCAATGTTGAAAAGTAGGATAAATAAAGAAGGTTACCTCATTAAGAAACGGGGATTCTTTTGTTTAAAAACTACCCTCAAGGATACAGTGCTGTTTTCTGGACAGAATTTTGGGGCATCTTTGCCTTTTATGGCCTGAGATCTGTCCTTATCCTCTACCTGGTGAATCAGTTTTCGTTCAGTGACCCCAAAGCCTTTGAACTTTATGGGGTTTTCATGGCTCTAGCTTATCTGACCCCTGTATTAGGGGGAGTGATAGCAGATCAAATTTTAGGTATTCGACAAACCCTCCTTCTAGGAAGCTTATTTGTTTTTATAGGCTGCCTCTTTTTAAGTATTCCCAATGAAATGTTCTGTTTTTTAGGTTTAAGTCTCGTATGTGTTGGGACAGGTCTTTTTAAACCAACCATTCTGTCTTCTGTAGGAAACTTATTTTCTAAGAAAGAATCCCATCTCCAAGACAGTGCTTACACCACTTTTTATATTGGCATGAGTCTAGGGAGCTTCATAGCCGCGAATGTATGTGGTTGGTTGGGTCAGACTTTAGGATGGGGGCGGGTTTTCCCGCTTGTGGCTGCAACAATGGGTTTTGGAACCTATCTTTTCTATCAGGGTATTCAAACACACAAGAACTTCCAACCACCTCGACTAATAAAGAACAAAAGAAAAACCTTTACTTGGATCGGAATACTGTTGAGTACTCCTTTATTTTACGTGGGACTCTCTCAAGCGCATTCTATGCAGTGGGTCCTCCCCAGTGTTTTATTTGGAAGCCTTGTATGTTTGACATGGATTTTCCTTCAAAGTTCCCAAGCAGAGAGAAAAGACGTTTTGCAGCTTGGTCTTTTAATGATTTTATTTTCTATATTCTGTTCTCTGTTCGAACAAACTGGCAGTTCGGTTACCTTATTTATTGAACGCAGTGTAAATCGGGAATTGTTGAATAGGTTTGTTCTTCCTACACCTTTTTTCCAATCCCTCTTACCTGCCTGTATTATTCTTCTCTCCCCCCTTATGGCTTTCTTATGGCGCAAACTTGCCGCATTAGGCAAAGATCTCAATATTTTCGAAAAGTTTACCTTGGGATTTCTATTTGTCAGCATTAATTATTGGATTTTTGTCTTTGCTATCGACCAAGCTATTGTAGAGTCTTCCCTTGTTTCCCCTTGGTGGGTTATTCTTGGGTTTGTTGTCCATGTGATTGGAGATCTATGTATTGTGCCAATCGGATTTGCAGCAGTTGCAAAACTTGCACCCAGACGATTCTTAAATATGCTCATGGGCCTTTGGATGGTTTCTATTGCATTTGGTCACTATGTCTCTAGTCTATTAGCGAAGCTTTCTTCTATTCCGTGCTCGGAAGAAGAGAGGACATTCCTTTCCACATTAGAGATTTACCAACTTTTCTTTAAGCGTATGGCGATCATCCCTCTTGCTGTGGTCTTAGCAACAACAGTAGGGATCATATTCACTAGACGCTTTATTCTTCAAAAGAGGACATGAGGATTCTTTCTAATCAGGTAAAAGAATTCAAGGATGAGCAATCGAAAGGGTCGAGTTAAATGATAATTTCTCCAAAAAAAAGAAATGACTACAAAAATTTTTATGAGTTTGACCTTTATATGCACTTTGTGCCTTCCCTTTATCTCAAAGAAACAAAAAAAGAGGCGGATTTCGTCAAACAGACTCTTCATATGAACCAAGAAACAGAGGTATTGGATATACCATGTGGTGTTGGACGGCATGCTAATCTTTTAGCTCCTGGTGTAAAATCTGTTGTAGGAGTCGATAACAGCTCTTCTTTTATTGAATATGCTTGTCAACAGGCAAAGGCTTTAAATCTTACAAATACCACCTACCTTTTAGAAGATATGCGTCAGGTTCAATTTAAAGATCGATTTGATGCTGTCATTGTTATGTTTACGTCTTTTGGCATGTTCTCTCATGAAGAGAATATCAAAGTCTTATCCAATATTGCAAAAGCCCTAAAAAAAGGAGGGAAATTCGCCATTGATTTTCTCAACCCCTACATCCTGTATGAAGACTATACAAGGACGCTTGTTTCAGAACGAGGTAAAGACCTTATGATTGACCTTCTCTCTATGAACAAACAAAATCATAGGTTTCAAGGGCGTCGAATTTATCTCAAAGACGGAAAAAGGACCGCGGCCTATATGTCTCACGAGTTGTTTACCCTTGAGCAATTACAAGTCCTTCTTCCTCCTTTGGGACTCAAAATTCGAGATGTCTATGGGTCTGGCTCTGGAAAGCCATTTAAAGCAAAGGAAACAACAAGAATGTTTGTGATAGGTCAAAAAAAACCTTGATAACCGATCTCACTACTCGGACAGAGCTAAAAAAGTATTCGCATTGTGTATAAATCTTATCGAAATATTCTTCTGGTTTTTTTCTTGGGACTTTACTACTTAAGATATGCAGGGAAGGGAGAGAAAAATACTCCCTTCCCCTAACAAAGTTTATCGTATTCTCCCCTGATAGGTAACTTGACATCTTCCCCGATGCCTACTAAGAGGAGCTCTTCTTCCAATTACCCTCTTAGTTTTCCCTGTTTCTTGGGTCAGATTCTTCCCATCTGGCCCCTTTTTTACCTTCCCCAACCTGGGCCATATAATGCTTTGTAGACGATTTCATAACACAATGCAACGAAATTATGCAATAAACTTATCTAAAATTTCCATTAACTTTTTCAGTTTAATTTCTAGAAGCTTTTGTGAATCTGCCTTTAAGGAGCAACAATGTGCTTTCATTCTTGATTGAGTTTCTGAAATTTTTCCCCAAATAATGCCGTTGCTTCCCGTAAGGATTCATCTGCTAAATGAGCATAGCGTTGCGTTATAGAGCCTTGGGTGTGGCCTAAGAGTTTGCCAACAATACTCTTAACCCGCTAGAGACCAAATGAGACGCGTAGGTATGGCCAAATCATGGAGGGTGCAATCTTTGATGTCAGCTTGTTTCTTGATGCTTGCCCAAGCATTCTTAATATTTTGAAGAGGTTTTCCTTGAACACGACCTGGAAATAAAAAGGACGATCCTTCAGCATTTTCTTTCTCAAGCTCCTTCAAGTGCTTGGCTTGAGAGAGTTGCATTCCACCATACTCTTTACGCCATTTGTCATAAGTTGAATCTGCAATCCTCAAAGAACTTTAGTCTGGATATTTTATAAAATATCCAGGTTAGGTTTATCAATCAGTTTCAGCTGTGAAATATTCAGCACTGCCAGAGAAATTTCCATGAGCACTTTTGTTCGCTTCACTTTTATCGACAGCCCGATAAAGGTAAACCTATTTGCCGTTAAGCTTGATGTCATGCCTCATCCATTCGTCAGCTTCCACTCATAGGACTTCTACAACGGCGAACTCGTTGATCAATAAGAAACGAGAATTTCTTAACTCATCTCTGCAGAAAAGCCTTTGAAATGATGGTCTAGATTTGGACTGATTTGAAGTATAGGAAGAACAGAAATTTGAAAGAAGATGACGCAAAATTAGAAGCTCGTTCTTCTCTCGTCAACAGATGCGACAGAGCCTTATGTGAATAATCGTAGACATATGACCCCCAACTTTCGTGGAGACCCGTTTCGATCTAAAATTGGTATGTATTTGGTATGCAGAATTTTTATCCCTGTTTGAAAATGGCGCGCCCGGCAGGACTCGAACCTGCAACCTGAGGATTAGAAGTCCCCTGCTCTAGTCCAGCTGAGCTACGGGCGCAAAAGAAGCTTTTTCATTCTTTCTTAGAAAAAGCATTGTAACAGCTTTTTCGAGAAAACTTTTACAAAGAAGTAATGTAGAAGGGAAGCTTTTTTAACGCAAACGGTCATGTCTAAAATTATTTGCGTAAGATTTTGGCTGAATAGCGGTAGGATTACGTTCAATGATTCGACAGGAGAGGGCGTTTTTCCGGATATAAGCTAAAGCTCGTTCTTTAGAAGAGAAATTGAGCCGTATTGTTTGTCCTGCTTGAGTGGTTCCTGTCCATCCCATGATGGGCTCTTTATAAAGTTTTTTGGAACCTATTTCTAAAATCCATGATTGTGGGCGTTTTCCTGATTGTGTGACTTTTTGCGCTGGGCAGTAAAGATGTGCTTTCATAGAAATACCTTCTTTAATTATGCTTTAGGTATTTTACTTTAAAAATATGCCTATTGACAGTTCATCTTAAAGAATTGTTTCATGTTAAAAAAGTGAGGGAGGAATTATGGCCATACCTGTTACATCAGGATCGATGATGCAATGTAGTTTTGGTGTTTTGCCTTGCCCTTTGAATGTTTTGCCTATTTTAAAACCTATGATGCCAACAGGAACAGCAGCAAATATTTTGGATTTTATTCCGTTTCTTAATATTGCAAATTTTGGCATGTGTAACACGATTTCAAATCCTGTTGTTGCAGCAGCAACAGCTGCTAAGTTAGGTGTTTTTACACCTGCGGCATGTGTTCCTGCAATTGTCGCTCCTTGGACGAGTACAGACTTTGATACGATGTTTTTTTTGCCTCCTTTAAATGAATCTTCAAAAGCAATGTGTTCTTGGGGTGGTGTTATTTCAATTGTCGTTCCATTGCCTGTGAATGTTATGATTTGATCAGAGTCCTGTGGATTGCCCTAGGCGGTGCCGGCTATGAACGTGCGCGCATAGAAGAAGGCCATAGCTCATCAAAAGAACCATCAATGATGTTCCCCCATAGGACATTAAGGGTAATGGAACACCGACAATGGGAAGAAGGCCCATGACCATTGCTGTATTGACAAAAACATACAAAAATAAAGTAGAGGTCACACCAAGTGAAATAAGCCGACCAAAAGTGCTCGTGCAGTTTCCGGCTGTTTTATAGCCTAGAGAAATTAGCATTCCATAAAGGATTAATAGAACCATTCCCCCAATAAATCCCCACTCTTCACAAAGCATAGTGAAAATAAAGTCAGTTTGTTTTTCAGGAAGGAAATTTAGGTGGCTTTGTGTCCCTTTCAAAAAGCCTCGTCCCCAAAGTCCTCCAGAACCTAAAGCTATTTTAGATTGCAGGATATGATAGCCGCTTCCTAAAGGGTCACTTTCAGGGTTTAAAAATGTTAAAATACGCGCTTTTTGGTAGTCGTGGAGAAAAGGCCATAGGGCAGGAATGGCTGTGCCAAGAGCTGTGATTGACGTGATAATAATCCATCGGGGTATTCCAACGGCAAAGAAAAAGCAGGCGCTGACAAAGCCAATCATGGCCGCAGTGCCAAGATCTGGTTGTCGGAGGACAAGAGCCATAGGGATAAAAGCAAGCAAGGCAGGAGGGAGGAGAAATGTAATTTTTTTTACATTTTCAGGGCGTCCATTATGGAAATATCGTGCAATGGCTAAGACAAGCGTAATCTTTACGGCTTCAGAAGGTTGGATGTTTAAAGGGCCAATTTGAATCCAACGTTTTGCCCCCATGCCTACAAATCCCAGGATTTCAACAGAAACAAGAAGGAGGATAGAAAGGAAATAGAACAAATAAGCATAACGCAGGAAAAACCGCAGATCGATTGTTGCGATCAAAACCATAAGGATAAGTCCTGCAAAGAGTCTTGGCGTTTGCTTGATAACCCAAGGAAAAAAGCTCCCTCCTGCAGCAGAAAAGAGAACCGTCAAACCTAGACAGGAAATCAACAAAATTAAAATTGGAATGCTCCAAGGAATGAGAACCAGCTTTTCTTTCAAAAACCTGAGTTTTTTGATCATACATCCTCCACGAGTATTTTCGTTTGGAGAAGAAGTTTTTTTGCGACAGG